CAGCCACTAGAATTCTAATTATTTTTTTCTGAACTGTTTATTTCCTAAAAAATAATACTAGGCCTTTGGTCATTCCAGTTAGTAGAGTCATCTTCTTTACCCATGATGACAACTTAAAATGTTACCTAATGCTAAAGCATATATTACTGTTTTTTTGGATGTATAGTGATTTTTATGATACCCGACAATATCTATCTACAGATCAAATAACTCTCCTCTTTATATCTGCGGACTAACAAGCCAGCAACGAGATTATAAAGTGAGACGTAAATCTGAATCCCAACCCTCTGGCTCCCTAGCTCCCTAAATAAGATGCCTCAGCTAAGCCTCAGGCCTCTCATTCGCTCGACGGAGGGAGACGACAGCCAACCGAGGAACAGCGGCGCGAGGCCTGCACACGGCCTGCGGCGCCCGGTGAGCACGGAAACACCAGCGGTCAGCAGCAACATCCACGCGCTTACATTCGCTTGTCTGTGAGGGGCTGCAGTAGTAACAGAAGGAAAAGAGGAGGATAAACGTTTCTTAGAGTTAACAAAAAGGAGGAAGGACAAGGCTGTTCAACAGTTACGGAAGACAAACTTGATGGGAGAAAGGAGAGAAAAGAGAATGGGAGAGGCAGAGTGAAGGTCCAGTAAACGGCAAACGGAAGACTTTACAGGGCAGAGTGCAGTATTCCACGAGCGTCTGTACAAGGGGGCAAGGACACAGTTCTTCGCGGAGGGCGGGGCCTAGAGGACCGTCAGGAATCCCCTGCTCTGGCCAGTGTCTAGAAGAGTCGGTTGAAGGGCTGCAGAGCTTAGCCAATGGCACGGCAGGAAGAGAGGCTTTATTCCGCGTCGGGGGCCGACAAACAGCTGACCTTTGACACAGTCAGGTTGGATGAGACCCGTCTGCACAGCAGAGGCGACTGTGGCCGGGTCTCCTGTCTGTCTCTTCCCGTACGCCTGTCTCTATTAGCATCAGGTGGTGAGATTTTGGGACACCTGTGCTTGATAACAAAAAACTCTGCATGATGCCTCTGATTCTGCGCGAAATGACTTGCTGACCACAGAATAGAGGCCCCTAGCAACCCTAATGTTGCCTGTTTCCCTCACCTGGGAAGTTAAGGACAAAATTAAACTGTGGGCAGACCAACTGCCAGAACGCTGAAGGAAGCTGTTCCTAGGAATGTTTCTTAGGGAGTCACCACCTGAAAGCTTAAGATTTATTAGAGCCACTACCCCTCCCATGCCCTGGACAGGAGTGTATAGAAACAAGGAGTTCTAGTTGAGAATAATAATCTCAATACATGGAAACGAACATAAAACATGGCCCCTCCCCAAGATGTATAAATAAAAAAACCTAGGCAAAAATCCAGTTACCTAATCAAGATAAATTTAATCTCAATGGATAATAGTTGATTTTTATATACCTACAAATCACCCCTTGCACCTTTTTAATTTAGACCAATTCCTAGAATTTTAATAGATACCTAGTTATTAGTTGGCACCTGAAAGTTTGTGCCTGTATAGCCTCATTGGCTAACTGATTAATGACCCTCTTGGTCAAAATAACCTTTGTTTAATATGGTTGATCTGTGGGACTTCCTGTACTCTTCGGTTATTTCTTTGTTTAACATGATTAATCTATAAAATCTTCTGTGTTTTTAGAAATTATTTCTGTGGTAACCGTTTCTGTTTTAATAATCACACTATGCATTGAATGTTGTATAACCTCCCCTATAAAAATAGACTGACTTTTCTCGGTGAGTCAGTCGGGCCCAAAGAGCCTGGCTGTCCTCCGGACCCCCGCCAGGTGTCTCGCTGCAGTCTCTTCGCCTGAGCCGTGCATCCTTCGGGGACCCTGGGACCCCTGCCGAGGCTGGACCCCGGCAATTCCGCCTGTTCCTCCCTCGAGAGGGAGATGTTCATAACCCTCTCTTGTCCAATCTTGTCCAATCGTTCTGAGCCCAAACTGCCCTCCTCTTAAAACAAAACAAATCCTCTCCTTCTCCAGTCCCATCCTTCCAACCTTATTTCAAACGTGACCTCCTCTATGAAGCCTTCCCCAACTCACTCAGAGTTTCATGCTTCCATAACACGCGTTTCTCTTTCTATCCCGCACACCGTACCACAATTGCTCCCATCCCCTTCCCATCCAGCCCCACGCTCCTTAAAAGCGAAACCCGTAACCTATTCAAGTCTGCCCCTCGGTACCCAGCGCGGAGCCAGCCGAGTGAAGGCTGAGAACCCCTGGGGCCCTGACTGCCGAGGGCAGACACGCCGGGACCACGGCTCCTAACTCTGGGTGACACGGCCCCGGCTTTGGGAACCTGAGGACAGCCCCAGACCTTCAGCCTAGAAAAATGCACACACGCACACACGCGCACGGGCACACACATACACACACACACACACACGAAAAGAGCATTAAGCTAAAAGTCAAAATATCTGAATCCTAGATTCTGCCCCCTGCTTTTGTCAAAAACTCCAAGTTTTCAAAGAAGTCACTTAATTTCCCCACTGACAAAGTGAAAATAAACTATCACTTGTCCGTCAACTATCCTTCATTAGGTGTCTAGAATAAAAATACATAAATACTAAAAATGTGGAATAATTCTGAAATTAAAACTGTTATATATGAGCAAATTATTTTTTATATTGCCTCACAGCTTGATACTTTTATAGCTATCTAGTCTGCAAAAAAAAAAAACATGCTGTGAAATAAATTGACTGTTTACTACAACAGCTAAAAGAACTGTTGTTTTTTTGAAAACCCAAAGGCCCCACAGTTTACACGCCCAGGAGGGGCGAGCACAACAAGTGTAAGGAAGCAAAGATGAATAACCCAATTAATTCGCACTTGTTCACACCACCGACTACAGATTCCTTTGATAACAATATGCTTTTGTGCTTACAAACCTGTAATACAATTGGCCAGTATGCTTTGAAATGTTTAGATTCTACACGCCAGGGATTCTTGATGACAGTCTGAACACTCTCTCCGGTTTGGCCCTATCACCAACAACCGTCACAGGTGGGCTACAGCCAACAGAGCTCCTCTCTCCGGAATGGGAGCTGCGAAACACTCCAACTAATGAGTCGTGAGAGACACACCTAACGGGGCTGGCTTTCATAGAAAAAGCAACTGTCAGGTGGCCACTGTGGAGACCCTCAGGGGTGCTACAGAAACAGCGTACGTTAGGACCCTGGACCATCCTCGACGCTTCAAATCTGAACGCCAAAGAGGCCCGTGCGCACCCCACGGCTGGCCCTCTGTCACTGCCCCCGAGCTGCTCCTGCCGGCAGCCCGAAAGGTGGGGTCCTCCTTGACAGTCTAGGCCTTCCTCTGTATCCATGCCAGTATTTTACAGATATTAACTGTAAAACAGGAAAACAACAAGCTGTGTCTATGCAGCCTGAATGTTTTGACTGTGGAAATGCTGTAAGAAATCTACAAATTCTTATCTGCTTAACTAGCTCCAGTGACCCAGGATTTTGCTAATCCACAAAATTAGACCTTTTGGGGAGAACCACAACTTTGCTTTGTTGAGTCTTAAAGCGGGTACAGATTTTGTCTAGAGCTAAAGGCACCAAGGCAGAAATAAGAATGCCCAAGTCCTAAATCTGTCCTCCTAGAACTCAACAATGACAAACACCTTCACCTCCAGCCTACTGCCACCTTCTTAGGCATCCTGCCCAACACAAGGGTGCCTCTGAAAGTACCAGGGAAGACTGTGCTTGCTGGTCTTTACTACAGATAGGGGAAGGCAAGGAAATGATGCAACCATTTATTTATTTATGTATATGCTTGTTTATTTTAGCCATCCCCCACCTCAGCCAAAGATAGTAAGGATAGTAAGAACAACTTGGCCTTGTTCTTCTAAACAACCTCTGCAGAGCTCAACAGATGCTCTGCTGTAGGCACTCTATTCCTGCTCTTCACCAGTCAGCACCCAACCAGCTCCAGACCCACCCAACGTGCCAACCACTCTTCTATTTCTTTTGATTCTACCCACTTCACTCCTCAAGTCAAAAGAAGCCATCCTTCTTGTCCTTTGACTCATCTTAATTATAACGCTGCCTCTTTACTGTCAAATGACCTCTAAGAATATCTCCTTTGGCTTGACCGAGCCCTAGTGCACTCCCCTTGTCCTCTAGGACCTGGTCAGCACTGCTCGGTGATGATCTCAAGAAAAAAAGGAAGTGAACCGAATCCATCTGTGCTCCTAGGACCTGGAGCCAACCCTTGGCTGTGCTCAAGGAGTCAAGGGGAGGAGACTGTATCCACGGCTGGCAGCAACGGGGATGGGAGGGTGTTCTGGGTTAGGATAATTAACTTCCATAAAACACTCTGCACTTCACAACATTAATCAAAATCACTCTTAAATTCGTGGAAGTGTGATTATATGTGTCTCTTCCTGCCTGCACTCCCCACCAGACTAAAAGCTCTATGAGGGCAAGAACTGTGTCATTTTGATCATGACTAATTCCCTGAGCCACGAATCGCTGGCGCACAAGTCTAACTCAGTTACTCCAGCCCTGTCAGATGAGACGAATTAAGCTTATGTCTCAGCAAAGCTCTGGTACAAGGTAATACTTCCCACACCCTCGGCCAATTATAATAACTAACGTTTCTTGGGCTGCTACATCAATTGACCTGACATCATTTGCAGGTTTTTACAGGTGTTCTCGTCTAACCCTCATGACAAGCCAGTGAAGCAGGTGCTGTGATCATTGCCGATTACGGATGAGGCGGCTGAGGCACAGCGGGTTGTACAATTGGCTAAGCGTGTGACAGGGCAGACCGACCGCCGGGGAGAGAGCAAGGAGAACAACTGAAATCATTCAAGGTCTGCCCACCAGATGCTTCTATGTCCCCAGCATTATGTGGCCCATTTCTGAGGCAAACACAGGGCCTTAGGGGTCCATAACCGCTCAGTTTATGACGCCCCGTTGATGCACCATGGAATGCAAAAGGCCCCGAGAATTCTACAGTTAGAAAATGAAAACTTAACTCACCTTCCACTGCTCCTCTGGAAGCAGCTTCACGACGACCAGGTCCCCATTCAAGGCTCTATTCCGAGCAACAACCCCATCAATAAAGATGTCTCGATCACCATCCTAAGTTGGAGAAAGAAATCAAATAATCAGCTTACCAAAGCCTGAAACCAAAACTTACTTCCTTGGTTTAAAACTGTACACTCCACAGTCTGTGCACTGATTTCATAGGAATTGTACACAGCCACGAGCAGACCTAGAGGGAGCTCAGTCTCTTTGGAACTAACAGAGATGGTGAGGAATACACAAGAGCACATGAAGGGAATACAGGCAGGCCAAAGACAAAAGCACATGAAGCAAAAAAACTGGGATGGCATGTTTTCTTAACTAAAATAAGAAAGGAGCAAGTGATCCTTAGGTCATCCCAGCTCTAGACCTTTTTAAAAATAAAATTTTTTATTTATTTAAAAATAAATAAAATAAAGCATGCTGAAAAAGCATGCTTTTTCAAAAATAAAATAAAATAAAGCATGCTGATATCTTTTCTACACTAGCTGAATTTTTTTAAACAAGAGTATGAGTAAAGAAAAACGGAAGGCCTGCAAGAAAACAGAAGAACAGCAGCACATAACCCCTCAGGAACACTACGAGGAGGGGCAGCGACCGGCGCTGGAATCTGGGATCTCCAAGAGGAGACCAGCAAAAGCATACGCCCCCAGCAGCCCCACCCAGGGAAGTGGCGGAGAGGAAACTGGGGTTGTTTCTGTGGACACCTAAGGAGAAGGCAAAGAAGAAAGGGAAAGGGACGTAAAGTGAGGTTCATAAAGCTCTCGCATGCTCCACCCCCCTCGCTGCCTTAGGAGCAGGGTAAACCTGAAACTGTGGGCGCAAGGAGGCACCACACCTGCGGCGTCGGTCCCAGGCTCATCGACAACCCGCTCAGAGCAGCGGGGCCCCGGCGAACCCCCCAGTACGGACTGCTAAACTTAAATTAGTGCCAGGCCACTTTATAAAAACAAGGCAAATTACTTACAAAAACACTTATATGGAAAACATAGCTAAGGAAAAGTAAGCCTTCGACAGTAAGTGACAGAATTAAGCCTTTTCAAAAGTGTTTCATCAACAAACAGGCAAACATGTACTCTCATCCCTTTATCCTTCCAAAAGTTAATACTATATGCTTCCTTTCAGAGGATGAGAGAAGTAAAATGTTAATTTTTGGAATCAACCCATTTGGAAATTCAAAGTTTTCTAATAGACACTTGATATAGAATGGATTTAACACTCAACAGTTGACTGCAGGGCATTACTATGACATTTTAGTCAAAGTTAAAATTAGCATTCCAAACTCACCACCCCCAAGGGATTTTAGACACTCAGCGATTTTTATACTTTCCAGTTACAAACCATCACAGATCTTTCAGCACAGCCTTCCTGTTCAGTTTCCAACCTAGCAGTGGGCTGGAAGCTGCGGCCCGCATACTCTGCCAAACCTGACCCACCCCAGGCCCCGAGGAACAGCTACCATGTCAGCCACGGAGACAGAGTTACTGCAGCTGAGCTCGAGACGAGCGTCCCCGGGAAACAGAGAGGGGCCGCCAGCACACAGAGGGTGGGCAACGAAGCGTGGCACAGCATCCTCGATCAGTGCCTTCTGCAATTGAAAGCAGCAGGATGTCCCCGGCTTCCTAACAGTGAAAATAGCGCTGCCTGCATGTAAGTCACATTGCCCATTATCATGTGTCAAAACATATGCAGTGAGGTGCCTGTCTGATAAATGGCTACACCGCCCTCAGCTCAGGGACATCAGCCAGTAAGACGCTGACACTGCCATGTTTCTATCGCAGGAAACCGACAGAAGCAGGGCTCAGTGGAACCTCAATCAGACAACACACAAATCTGTAACTATTACATCACTGCTCAGCTCTTACTTCATTCATTCAGAAGCCTGCATGTATTGCAGAACCCCTTCTTTTAATGATACAAAACTTGGGAACACCTTGATGTTACAAGTTTGAGTCATCTCTCTTAACAACTTTTTAAGGCCAAAGGTTGCAGTCCTTTATTTGAAGGCCAGAAGACTTGCTTCACCCATCAGAAAGAACAGGAAAAAAAGAAAGATAGAAAACTGGATAATGAACACCCCTAGAGGAAGTAAACAGGGAGCTGGGGGTACCCTAACTACATAAACAGGAGGCTGGAGGGCCACAATGGCCCAAGTACGTCAGGATGGTCCAAGCCGCCTCCGTCAACGGAACAGCAACTTTTGGACTGGAAGTCCATTCCACAAACTCGCAGAGAGTGCCTCCCATGACAAGATGCACCAAAAAGCTTCTTGCAACAACATAACTTCTTGTAACAACATAATTCAGAATTGAAACATGTTTTGTGAAAAGAGCCAAGTTTTTACATTGGGGCCATTTCTCCTTTCTATTGTATGCCCAAATAGAATAAAAAGTCAACCTAATAATATCAGATCATCTTGGTTTGCTTAAAGTCACACAGTTTTATTCTAATTCTATGTCTTACTTTTTCAGAACCGCAGGAGATAGCAGTCACACATAAAAGTGACTTATTACATGCATTTTGGGTTTGTCATGGGAAAATGAAAATCGACTTTCTATGAGTAGACATTATAATGAATTTAGGTCAGGTTCCCAAAAAACAAGTCTTTTCTATACATGACGATCCGTTCACTGATCCCAGTCTCAGGACTTAGGCAGATATCTGAACATTGCAAATGACACTGCATAAGTTCCCAATATTCTTGCAGAGTCAGTAATTTCAGTATTCTAGATAATTTCATCAAATCTAGTCTATTTTTGACTCTCCAAAAACCTTAGAATTTTGAGGTCGATAGGAACATTAGACAATATTTACACAATGTTTAATCACCCCCTCATTTTACAAATAAGAAAACTTCTGTTTCCTACTGTCGGAGCACAGGCTACATCTTCTTTAAAGTCAGCTCTCGTCTCTGTCCTCCCGGCTCAAGCAGGGGACTGCCACAGTCAGGCCCTGGTTCTGACACCCCACCTCCTAGTGCACCTGTGAGCACTTTCCAGATCACGGAAGCTCACACCGGACATGGACATGAGCCTCGGGGACTCAGAAACTCAAACCAGTGGTGGGATTCATCTACACGTAATTTATTGCTTCTACTATCTCCCTCTTCTAACACCTGAAACTGACCCCAAACCCCACGAAAATAGCATGCAAGATTGTTCCAGTGTCCAAAACCGGAATATCTGCAATCACTTGCAAATGGGCCTTGACAGAGCTTTTACAGTCTGTTCTTAATTACGTAAAGGTAAATCATTAGCATTTTTTCTCCTTCTGTAGCAATATTACTACTCCATCAGGGCCAGATAGGAGAATAAAAGAAATAAGCCAATCCTAATATCATAACTGTCTAAAAAAGTCTAAATAGGACATGCCAGGAATACAATTTCAAACAGAACAAGTTTAGCTTTTGAAACATCAATATGTTTTGTTTCTTAACTTCTTTTAACAAGCCAGATTAAACAAAGGTGACACATCATTTGCAAATTTAATTCACAGAAATTTAAGTTACAAAAACCTAAATTAACTAGGCCTCACACTTTAGGGGACCTCTGCTCTGCCCTCCCCTCGGCCACACTCCTCCCCATCAGGAGTTCTCAGGGCCAAACGGATGTGTATCCACCCCCACTGGTCCACTTCCGGGGCACAAACCGGCATCCTCCCCAGGTCGGTCTCCCTGAAGGCAGACCACCAGGTCATAGGTGGCACCCCTGGATTCGACAGGTGGGTCCTGCACAGAGAGAGACTGGATGTGTGGGATAGGATGCCCACACAGGTGTATGCAAGGGCCCTTGCAGACAGGGGCCGGGGAGCCAGGCTGGGGAGGGCAGAGGGGCAGGCCAGAGGTGGGCCCTCTCCGTGCAGCGCCGTAGAGTCTGAGACTTCTACACATGAACTCAGGTTCACGGAAGGTATATTTGCAAGGAACACATTTTATTTGTCATGAATATATTTTACTTAACAGCGTATTAGTTTGATTTAGAACTTTTACGTATTCAGGACAAGGTATGTATGCCTCCTTGTGCACTCTTGCCCTAAGCCCCACACTTGTCAGGGGCCTCCTAACAGGGCTCTAACTTAGGGAAATTCAGTGCTGGGTGTGCAGGGGAGAGGAAGCGAGCAGGAGAACTTCGGAATGTGCAGCTCCCCTTACCGTTCCAACCGGGGAGAGCAAGTCTCAGTGCGTGCGAGAGAGGAGCAGTGTGAAACCTGCTCGGTCCCCAGGAGCCTCTCAGAGTGAACTCCTCTCCACGGTGCCGGCCATTCCCACACTTAAGAAACCGTGTTTTTCACATACCAAGGCTGCTAATACAACCAAGCTCCTCTGCCTGGTACACGAACAAGGGGACAGCCACTCTTTCTACCGTGGAGACAACACTGGTTATGCTGGCCTTGCTGAGAGATGGTTTACCTGTCTCCAGCACGGCTTATGCCTAAGAGGCTTCCACAGGTAACTCTTATGAATGTGGTTTTCTCCCCATGCACAAACTCTGGAATCTAGCACCTGTGTAAGAGGCGCTTCCGCTGTATGATGGAGCTGCTCCTGCAGCTGAGCACCTCCTCAAAGCTGACCCTCGGCGCTACAGCCCACGTGCCAAGGTGGGCATACATGCCGTGTTCTGTCACAGGAACGGAACACGACTCAGACAGAATCAGCTTTGCACAATCAACTACATACAACATTATGTTAGTTTTGTATGTTCTGTATACTAAACTAGTATTAGTTTATTAGTTTATAGTGTATGTTTTTTCAACTACATACAATATTATATTAGTGTCGGTGTACAACATAGGGATGAGACATTCCATAGCTCACGAAGTGATCACCCCGTAAGTACAGTGCCCGTGTGACACCAGACAGAGTTACTACACTGTTACTGATACACTCCCTCTGCTGCACTTCAACCCCGTGACTACTCTGTGACTGCCAATCTGTACTTCCTATTCCCCTCGCCTTTTTCACCCAGCCCCCGGCCCCCTCCCGTCCGGCAGCCGTCACTTTGTTCTCTGTATCTGTGAGTTTGTTTCTGTTTTGTTTGTTTTCTTCATTTTTTAGATTCCACATGTAAGTGAAATCATATGGCTTTGCCTCTCTCCATGTGATTTCTTTCACCTAGCATAATACACTCTAGGTCCATGTGTGTTTTTGCAATAGCAAGATCTCATTCTTTTTTATGACCGAGTAATATAAATGTATTGCATCTCCTTCATCTACTCATCTATTGATAGACATGGGCTGCTTCCATATCTTGACTATTGTAAATAATGCTGCAATGCACACAGAGGTGCATATATCTTTTCATATTTGTGTCTTAGAATGCTTCAGAGACATACCCAGAAGTGGAATTGCTGGGTCATATGGTAGTTCTGTTTTTCGTTTTTTGAGAAACCTCCATACTGTTCTCTCTACTGGCTGCACCAATTTACAACCCCACCAACAGTGCACAAGGGCTCCCTTTGGTGTCAGTAACTCTTTTTATCTAATGCAGTGGGTAAGACCCGACCTTGAAATATGTGAATCCTTGGATTCTGGAGGAGAGGGAAAAAATATAACAAACTCAGCTCAAGAATAGGTCTTAAGGTTACTGTAACAGCAACAATAATATCTATGAAGTACACGACTAAACCTGTATTCTCCCTAAACCTGTATTCTCCCTAAACCTGTTGTGTAACATAATGAAATATGTTAACTGAAACATACGTATTCCATTTCCTCATTTATAAGCAAAAGGTTATTTCTATGGTCTTTTCCACCCTGAAAAATCTGTAATTCTACTGCCACCCTATTTATGGCGCCCTGGAAAAGTTAGGTCAGGAATTTAAGAACGCTGCTCTCCCAGCTCTGCACAATCGAGCCTTGTGCAGAGCCCTGCCGTGGACTGTGTGTCCAAGCGAACCCCCCCTACCAGGAGCGAGCCTGTTCGAGTGAGTCAGGAACACAAGGAAGGACTCAAAGGCCCCGTGGTGAGGAGCCTCGTACCAAGTCCTATCACCTGCATGAAAGTGATGTGAGAAACTCTGACCCCAAAGAAAGCATTACACATCATTTTTGGACAAATGTGCAGATTAGCTCATGCAGTAGATCGAAAGTAGATAGCATATTTGTTTAGGAAAGATTAACTTAAATCAGTGGAAAACCCATAAATCCTTTAAGCTATAAACTGAGGGCATCCAGTGACACAGACCGGTGGGTGTCTGCGTGGGCTCAGCTGCTCTGCAGCACAGCAACAGACACCGCCCCTTGCACGGGCCGGGCGACCCTAAGACTGGCAGAACGGGCTGCTAACCACAGGCAACCTCTGCTTATTTAAGTTTGAAACAAATCCTTGTCCATTCTCAATTTTGTTTTACTACTCTGCTTTTTAGTTGGAATATATTATTTCAGTTTCAGAACACATCTAAAAAATTAAATGTGACATTAGGTTTATTATAAAATTATTGAACTTACCGGGGAAGGAATGAAGGCTTCGTGAAACTTCTTTGGATTGATTCTCAATACACCCTTTAAAATAAAAATAAAGTGTATGAAAATTTAACTAGTTACACATGTATGATTTTTTTCTATACTTATGTTACTCTCCAATAACAAGTTTTCAAACTAATTAAACAGCTCGACCTAGAAACAAGCTGGATCACGAGAACCATTCATTAAGGACACGAAACATGACTTCCATCGGCACCTGTAACGGAGGCTCCGCAGAGACAAAGCTCCCAGGGCGCCCGGCCGAGAGCAGGCTGAGGGGGGCGGCGGGACCGCTGCTGGGGTTTTAAGTGCCCCTCTGTGCTAGGCTTCGGATCGAAACTTTTACTTCAAGAATAAGGTGATCGGGGATCACACCAAACTACATAATGGCCTTTCTAATTCTCTATACCTTTCCACAATTGCTTGTTTCTGTGACAATTTTCAAAGTGAAGCAGGTTGATTTCCAACCTGGAAACTCAGCCTGGAGGGACTAGATGTATATTTTTCACTCTGGCCCCTCAGCAGAGCTGAGTGAGTCAATAACTCAAAATGGTCTAGAACCAGCTCTTAATGGAAATGGGAAGTCTGGCTCCGACAGCCGGGCCACCCAGCCTGCCTTCAGCTCCGTGTTATTCCAGCACCAAATCAGGGTCTGCTTCTATTTATGCACAGCGGTGCAGGTGGGGGCCGTCTCCAATAACAGCCCAGTGCTCTGGGCTCCTGCAGGAAGCTGTAACCCGCCCCGCGTCCCAGCTGCATCTGCAGGCCACTGGAACACATGGAGGGAGGCAGTTATTTTCCTAAGAGCCAGACTCAAAGAGTGTCTTGAGAAAGTGTTTTAAGCAACACTTCCCCCTAAGATGTTGAAAAATTCAAAGATACATAATTAACAAAACAGGTGAGGGCATAAAATAGAGCAGAAAATAATTCTTCCTTTCATGTTTCAATTACAAATTTCCATGCAACAGTTTCTACTACCATTAACGTCCCAGTGAGACTATTACAAATGCTCATTCAGTCCTTAATTCAGTCATTATTTCTCGAATTCTGACCATGTTCAAGGCCCTGAGACAGACCACGTGGGAGAGGGAGTGACGGCCAAGCTCTGTCCCTGTTGGAACACGAATGCCGGGAGAGTGCAGCTTACTTCCAGCTGGGGGCACTGAGACAGGCTCCAGAAACAGCGTCTGACCTGGTCCTTGATGGGGGAGAAACCTTTGCAGATTAACCAGAAAGGAAGTACAGGCAGAGTGACACACGCCAGAATGACTAAGGGGACAAATGCTCTTCCCCTCTCAGGCTGACACTCTGCTTAGGGTAAGGGACGGAGGGGCCAGAAGAAAAGGCCGGCAGGGCTTGCTGAGGCCAGACCGGCACCTCACTTCTGAGACAGCTGCTTCCTACTGGGGGAGGGAGGGAAAAGCTTACCCTAAATCTTCATCTACTCACTCCACAAATACCCCTGGTGACCAGGGTGACAGGCAGCGGGCTAAGGCACGGGGACACAGTGGAGAGTAGCACAGCCTCTGCTCTCCTAGAGCTCACAGTCTACTGAGGGGGAGACACTCCACATAAACAGAAGTAGACTCATTGATGTTAATTTTTTAAATTTACTTTCTGACCCCAGGCATTTTTTCCTAAGTTTCTATTATTTTCAGCTGCTGTTCTTCTATCATCCCTTCTAGCTCCGTGAACAGTTAGTTCATGAAGTCTAGAGAGGAGAACGCATTCTGCTTTCCAAGCACCTGCAATTACAGAGCACTGAGAGAGGCCGAGGCTGGGCTCAGGGGAAAGGGACAGCTTGCTTAGGGCTGTAACAAGGCTCTCCTTAAAAGCGCAGATATTAAAAGGCCCTAAAGACTCTATTCTTGATTCTCTGCTCCAAACGACCCCATGTGTGAGAGCATGCGGCAGGACGGGGGCTTGCTCCGGGAGAACGTCGGCACTCTGACTGCGGCGCATCCCTAAGGACGGGCCCTCGGCTCGCCTCTGAGAGCACAGATCCCTCGGAGGAGGGAGAGACTCGACCAGGGTCCTCAGCAGACTGGAGTCACCCCCACAGCCTGACGGAGCTATCAGTAAAGCACGGCAGGAAATGATCTTTAACTAAGAGACTTCCAGCAGATGTTCTGTCTTACCTAAAAAGTCCAGCACTTCCACTGTCATCTTCTCAAGACTGTCCCCTAATCCACCCCACCCCCTTCCTCCTCGACCCTCCCCTAGGCCTGCAGCTGGACCCGCAAGGCTCCAGCAGGCTCCCTCCTGTCTCCGAACGCCCCTGCAGGTCCTCGGCTCAGCTGACACCCGGCTGTGCCCTGCTGCGCCCCTGCCCTTGCAGGGCTCCCAGGAAACCGCCTCCTCTCCTGCTCCACCATCTCGGGGACCAGGGGAAGAGTGTTTCCCCCGAGCTTCCCCACTGTGGCTTTAACGTTTTTCCCCTCCATTCTCTTTCGAGCCGCGGCCCCCCTCCCCCGCCGACGGATCCTTTGCAGTTCGTGTCCTTAGCTCCTTCTACACCTCCTAGCACCGTCATCTTCAAACCGGCTCACAGCCCTGATTCACTAACACTTCTGCTTGTAGCCCACTGTCCTCCTCTCCACCCCGCAGTCCTACAAACACTTAACAGGACTTCACACCCACACGATGCGCAGGCAACCCTAGCCAGTCATCCCGGCCACTCTCCCCCGCGCTCACAGCCTGTGTCTTGTCGTCAGGGTGAATCACACCACCTCCAAACATCCACACAGACACACAAACTCTTCCGGGCTTCAGCTCACTTGGGGTGGAAACACCACCTCAGCGACTCTTTGTCTTCACTGTGACCTCCAACCCATGGGCCTCACCACATTCCGACCCTTCGTCATCGTCCCACTATGTTTAGTCCCATCCTTGGCCACCTAGCCGCCACGGCCTGTCGTTGCCTCCTGTCACTGCAAACCTGGAACCCTGAGGCTACTCAGCCTCTTATATCTAATCAGTAACACCCCACTCTCAGTTACCCCAACCGTCTTCCATTTCCATGCCTAAACCCAAAAGCTGAATGTCATTGTAGAAAGATACCCACAACTGGGCTAATTAGCCTAACTTGGCAATCACAAACATGTTTTACTTGGCTTCAGGAATGTTTGAGAATACTCAAAGCTGAAGAATTTCACACATAAATATGTATTTCCAGATTTTCTTGAAACACTAGCTAAGCCCACATGGCAGCCGCCACCTGAGCTGAGTAACAGATGCTTCTCTCATAGCAATAAAAGCAATCGCAAGTAACACTTACACCAGTGCCCCACACGTCACTCAGTCTTAAGGGCCTTACATCTATCCGACTGATCCAGCCCTCAAACCCAGGCAACCCCGGGAGGCAGGTGCTGCTAGTCTCTTGCTCACAAAGGAGAAAAGCGAGGCACTGAGAGCTGCCCGCTTTCACCGCACGGTCAAGCCCAAGCAGTCTGCTTCCAGAGACCTTGCTCCTAACGACCGCAGACTGCCCCCGTCTGCCGCGGCCACCCCAGGGCCTCTCCACTCCCCAGTGTCACCTGCCCCCTCCCCCCAGGAAGCCGGAACCACACCCCAGCCCTCAGGCTGCCCGACCTTGGTGAATGACAACATCACCCAGCTGGCACCCCAGCCCTCAGGCTGCCGGACCTTGGTGAATGACAACATCACCCAGCTGGCGGCTCACCTCAAATACTCGGGCCGCCCTGTATTCCTCCCTCTGCCTCGTCTTCCCGGGTTGGGCCATCCGTGTGCCGCGCCAGTTCCTCGCTCCCCTTCCACCCACTTCTCTCCACCTCCCCGCCACCCCCCTTGTTCACATCTCCACACGTCCCGGCCTGGCGTATTCTGGGGTCCTCCTACAGGGCCTCCCAGCTTCCACTCCAGTCCATTTGTCTTCAAATTGCCAGTGAGATGTTTTTACAGCATGAAACAGGTCGTGTCCTTCCTTTGCTTAACACATTTCCGTGACCCCCACCACTCTTTAAGTCAAACCCAACTCTCCAACACAGCCCAGAGACCTCACGTGATCTGGAAGCTGCCCGACTCTCCAACTCACTCCCACGTGGTCATTCCCTTTGTCCAAAAGTCTTCCTCCCTAGTCCGCGAAGCCACCAAGCCTTTTTCTGCTTGCTATTTCTTCCACTAGCTCATCTCTCTGCCTCTGATGTTCTTTTCCTAACTCTTCAGGTGGCTGGCTCATTCTCACCCTTCAGATCTCGACTCAGAGACCCCCTCCTCAGAGGTGACTACAGAACTGGTCACAGGCTGTAATTTCCTCTATTTCTTTAGTCACTTTGGCTTATCTCCCCTGTGAAATGCCTGTCTGTTACATGCTTTGCACTTAGTAGGCAGTCAGGGAAGATCTGCTGAGCTAATTAATTAATGTCTGCAGAGCTGAAGCTCTCCCACCACCCCCTAGCACTAGTGTTATGAATGTCATCTCCTCCTTCTAAATGGCTGGGCGGTCCATTGTCAGGTCACCTCTATTCCCTCTTTAATCCACACCCAACGGTCTCCAGTTGATTTCACCCTTAACAAACGGAGACAGTCTGGAAACTAGTTCCTCCTCGCCTGTCCTCCTGGACGAGGATTTCTTCTGATGTCCAGTAACAGCTTCACACCAATACCCTACCGGCACTCTGACATCATGTCTCGGGCAGCTCTGGGGGCTCAGCCCGAACCACCTGCAGACACAGCGACACCTGGGACTGGGAGGCCAATCAAGTCCACCCTCTTCCTACCCGTGTCACTCTGGCCACCCCCCCAAACCTGAGCCCCTTCCAAGACTGCCCATCCCATACTCTCAGTTTCTCCCAACATCTCCCGTATCGACCTTCCAACCGTCTACCTACGTAAAGAGAAAGGACCTATGTTCTTTGATGTGAGAACCTGTTGACCAAAATACCTTCAAAACTACATGTGCACGGTCATGGGTCGCTGCTGGTCAGCTCTAACACAGGAGAGAGGGTTCGTGGGCACCGTGGACTCCTCTTCCCCACATAGGCCAAATACCAATGAAATGGCAAATTATTGGTCAAAGTATTGAAAGGAAGCAAAAAATTATTCTACTCCTATATTAAAATATCTCAGATCTCTCATTAAAAGTTGTTTCTCTGGATGAGGAGAAGAAAAAGGATGTAATCCTATATTACATGTGAATAAAAAGTTAAATGCTTAAACATTTCAACAAAAAAATTCAAAAATCTTTTATTGTCTAGTTCTTCAGTTTACCCTTCAAGGCCTGAGCACACAAAGTTTGTATCAGAAAGCAGATGGACTCTGTTCCTTTGCCTATGAAAATCTTATTTACAATGTTGTATATTTCACACGGTGACCTCATATCTGGAACCCATTCCTTTCCCCATCTGCACAGAACAACTGTTCTCATCCATGGGTGGGAGGGGGGGGGCTCTGGCTGGAGTCTCATGATGTCACAGGCCAGGAGGAACCACTTAAAACTCCAGGAAATGAGGGCTGTTATATCGATCAGTTTTTTGTTGTTTTATTTTACTATCACCCAAGAGTTGCTTCAAAAGCAAAAATTAATAGGAGAGAGCAAAAACTAATACAACTGCAGAACAGTTACCTCAGGTTATCTGTATAAATTCTATAATAAAAATTATAAGCAATTTTTCTTTCAAGTTATAACAACTGAAATTCCGCTCATTTTTCTTCAAAGACAATAAGTACCTTGATCCTTTATTGAATCAGTAAACAACTATTCAATAAACTTATTAAGCATCAATCAAATGCCAGGTATGTGGGAATAAGACATGACCCTGCCCAGAAGGAAGTAAATCATCTACTTGAAGAAACATAAATGTCAGGACATGAATACAGGTTTAACATAAAGGGTAGCCCTGACTGGTGTTGCTCAGAAGTTTGGACGTCACCCTGCAAAGCAAAAGGTCACCAGTTTGATTCCCATACAAGGGCACAGGTCCAGGTTGCAGGCCAAGTTCCCGGATGGGGGGCATGGGAGGGGAAACTGATCAGTGTTTCTCTCGCACACTGTTGTTTCTCTCCCTCAACTTCTCCCTCCAATCCCCTCTCTAAAAATAAATAAATAAAATATATTAAAATATATTAAAATAAAATAAAATAAAATAAAATAAAATAAAATAAAATAAAATAAAATAGGGTAAACCAAGAAGTCAGCTTCAAGAAAAGCGGCAATGGCCAATTCTGCAGAGAATCAATAGAGACTTCTCAAAGGGGGTGACACTTGGCTAGGGACTTAAAGGTTGAGCCCGATAACATCCGGACAGTGGGGGAAGGCCCCCGAGCACCAGGAACCGCCTGCACAGAGTCGCCGAGGAGGCGAAGAGCAGAGTCTCCACGGGAAAAGCCCGAAGGCCGGGGGAAATGGAGCGGAGCGGAGCGTACCAGGAAGGAACGAGGGAGACGAGAGTGGAAAGGCACAGCGGGTCCACGCGCGTGGAGCGAGGAGAGGGCCAGGAGGCTGTAGATACACTGGAGTTCAGCGTGAGGGCTGCAGGGGGGACAGCGTGCGTATGGACTAACGAGTGGACAAATGTCCAACTCGCCCGAGGGAGGCCTTGTCAAAGAAATCCAAGGGAAGCTTTTTAAAAAAAAAAAATCCAAAAGGACTTCTAAAGTCAGAAGATCAACTCATGTTGCTAAAAAAGTTTTCCATTCAAGAGTTTATATTAATCACACAGGCATTTGACCACAGGGAAATACCAAAAAGTGGTGAAAAAGGAAGAGAAGGTGATACTATCTATTAATTGGCTGCATCTTCAGCCAAAAGCACGAACATAGAAGCTGAGCTCTCAGAACGAGAAAAAGTGGAACACAGTCAATGTTTTCAAGTGAGCCAGGTAACACGAGGCAACATTTCATAACCCAGGAACTATGAAACGAACCTAACGCAAAGACCGTGTGGCTCTGCCCCTCTCCATCGCGCTGCCCACCACCTGCCTCACGCTTCAGGCCTGCGGAGGCCTCAGCTGCCCAACCGTGTGCACAGCGCCTCATCAGCTCGTGTTTTCGTCGGTGCCACTACCCCCCCCCACCTCCTTCCCACACACGCCACTCACTGAACAGACCAGGCTACTGTCTGTCCTCCAACATCCACGGCGGACGTCGCCTCCCACAGTTTCCCGATTTCCCCCAACCGCCCTCCCTCCCATGCTCCCGGCCACACTCCTCTCTCGGCACTAACCGTCTACCCAGCAACCATCTGTTCGCACGGCTGCCGGCCTCCCCCGGGCCGCCAGCGCACAGCGCACAGAGGCGGCCTCTTCCACCTTCGTCCCGAGAGCGCCCATGCACCTGCCCTTAACTGTAAACTGGGCCTGGCTAACGGCAGGTGCTCGGTAAACATTTGCTGAGCCGAACCACTGCACTAGCTTGTAAAAGTACTCTGTACACTATAAAGCACTCACCAAATACCGTCTGCTGCTGTTCACTGCCTCCCTCTCCACCTTACGCTCCGTCATTCAGCTTCCATGGGCCCAAGGCAAACTGAACCATCCACGCTTCTCCTAGCCAAACCCCGTTCCCACTTTTGTCTGAGTAGCTCAACTGGTCCTTCCGTTTATAAAGCACTTTCTCTTATCTTATAGAAATTGCACCGGTCCTCGGCCTGCATCAGCAACGTCCCTTCCAATACCACATTCCTGGGCGGCCCCAACTGGAAGTGATGGCTCCGGCCTCTCAGCTCCCAGAGTGCTGTGCTCTCCGCCCCGCGGCGCTTGTTACCTCTAACGGCACCGCAGGTCCTAGAAGTGGGATGCCCTGAGCCTGTTGTACCCTCATTTCTTTCAAAACACACAGCACAGAAAAATAAACACTTTACTGAAAAAAAAAAACAGATTACTTCTGATCCCACACATCCAAGGAATAGCCTTCTAGTATGATTTAAGCACCTGGATAAGTGTTCCTCTCTTCAAGCCTTCTGAAACATCCTCCTTGGACATGTAATTTTCAAATATGCTCTTTTTCTTCCCTCGCGTGGACTTGTTCTTTGACTTTTTGTCACCTGGCGAAGCACCAACACCACGTGGGCTGACCACAGAGGACACACCTAGGAACATGAGGCAGCAATCAACTCTTTTCCCAATCAAACATCTCTGTATTTTTTAAGCTAGAGGCATTTTACCCTCTTCTTAAATTTATAAAAACAAAAAGGAAATGAAACTCCCTGATCAAGATTTCGAATGGCCACAAAAAGACAGGAATGAGAAGAAAACGCGGGTGGAAGGCACACGGAGACGGGCGTCGGACCGGCGCCGCGGCGTTCGCGGAGCACGGCCTGCGCCACGGCTGCCGTGTGCTTTCTGCTCACACACACGCCCCTTTGAGAAGCAGGAGCTGCTGAAAGACGGCCATTTTTCAACAGGAAATTAAATAGCTGTGCTCAATAAAACAACAAATTAAAGACAAAAAGAAACACCACTGAATTCTAGAGTAAATGACACGTAGAATATTTAACACGTCGCTAAAGAACTGCAGCCCCCTCAGTCCTAAGACCCGCCCGCATCCCCATCCCAGCTGCGTGCCAGGTCTCTAGCTGCCGGCGCGGACTCCCCACTCCTCCGGCTACCTCTGAGGCTCCCCAGGTTCAGCCTGCAGTCGGGATGGCTCATTGCTGGATCCACGGTCGCCTCTTCTCTCCAGGTGCGGGGGGGCCTCCACCGCCCGGGCTCGGAGTCCTCCCGGCCTCGAGCAGCTCGGGTGTCACAAGCTGAAACCAAAGAGAAGCGAGTGACCGAACAGCAATTAACCCACAGCCTCCGCTGCGCTCTTGGACAGTGAGTGCGTGGATGGCAAAGGCGACGCAGCGCCCTCCATGGCTCCTGGTGTCACCTTCTCCCGGGCAGTCAGGCAAACACGCCATCCGGCCTGAGTTTCTTCTCAAGGCCTTCGCCTTCGCAGGTATCACTAGTTTGCTTGTTTGGGCCAATTCAACTAAAAACTCCCACAAATGGGCAATGGGGTGGAAATTACGGAGTTCTGCCATTCTGTTCAGCTTGTGAAATGCACAAGAGCAGGAGGGAATGTGGTTCTGAAAAATGGTATAAAGACCTAGAATCTAAACACGATAATGAAATAGGTGCTAAACTAGGACTCCAGAGACCTGCCTAAGGTTAACCTTGAACAAAATGACATTCCTCTACAAAAACAAGTCATCGATTCCTTAAGAATTCATCAACAAAACCTAATTCATTACCATAACCACAGTCCACAACCACTCAGGGAACCCAGGATGGTTCACTCACTTTCAAAACACAGAAATATGATAATTGAGCATCTATTTCCCTACTCTTACCTGCCATCACTTCAAACCAGTCATCTGAGCAGAAGCTCAGGCAGCTGCGTCTAAGGAACACGAGGCAGCTGCCTGGACCAGCGGCCTGGAACACGGGGCCCCGCAGCTGGCCCCCTGACCTGCCACCTGGATACTGAACATGTCATCGCAGCTTCTCCTTTCGCTCGGTGCTGGCCACCGGCCCAGGATCTAAGCCTATACTTGCAAATTTCCAAAACCCTGGTAAGCAGCCTTTATGATTTCCCATAAAATGGATCAAGATGTCATTCTGAACACTAGCTTCCATTTCCTCTAAATTTCCCACAAACATCCTTTACCAAAATGATGTAATTTTTCTTTAAAATGAAATTAATACAACCCAGGGGGAGAGAAGCAACAGAGACAAAAGGTAACAGGTCATTTAGTGATACATGAAGAGATTCAGAAAGTCAAGAAGGAAGAAACCTAGATCAGTGATTTTCAATCTTTCTCATCTCACGGCACACATAAACTATAAAATTCTGCAGCACGCCAAAAAATATACTTTTTGTCAATCTGACCAAAAGAAAAAGATATAATTTTGATTCACTCACACCAGACGGCTACTGCTGTGTTGGCTGTCGTCATTATTTTATTTGACAATCAAAGGGAAAAGAGGGCAGTGCCCCTGACTAAACGCTCAGGTATTTCGTGTTTTAACCATTCTCGTGCCGTACTGCGCCGCGGGATACGCAACAGGGCAGCGGGAAAGGCACATCCCGGAGCCCAGACCGTCTGATGGTCTACTTCCGAAACCCGTTCACCCACGCATTCATTCAGCAAGCACTTCCGCAAGCTGCTGTACCAGGCACAGTGAGGGATACAAGAGTTAATGTATACAAATCGTATTGCACTGACAACTGATACAAGTTGGGAAGTGAGAGCAATATTTTTTTTTAAGTATGGGTAAATGTACATATGATGGAAGAGAAAGGGTATCTCCAGCTCAGGAAATCCAAGAAAGCTTCAGAAGAAAATTTTTAGGAAGAACTGAGAATGTGAGAAAAGCACACTGCTGGCAAAAGGAAACAAAAAAAGACACACCGCTCAGGCAGGTTCTTGCAACAGTCATTCCATCTGGATGGAGTCCAGCCTATAGGAAGGGGAGCAGTGGCCAGAAAAGTGAAGCAACATGGAAGGTCTGGAGGACCGGCCCAGTTTCTCGAAGACAGCGGGGAATTTCTGAAGCCTGAGTGAGCAGAAGAGAAGAACAGATCAGAGTCGTGTTTCAGGAAAACTTAACCTGTTCAGGATGCAGAGTCATCTGCACTTGAGAAAAACTAGCCGCAGCTGCACCCTAGGACAAAACTAGAACAGACTGGGGAGGAGGTAGGCCTGAGCCGGAGCGGTACCGGCAGAGGCAGAAACGAGGAGACCCTTCACATGGTACTGCACAGGGCAAAGGGGCACCATTTGGCCACCAGGCAGATCTGGGGGAGAGCGAGGTAGTGGCAATTGCGTAAGATTCCAAACAAGACTGGGGAATGATGACATCAGTAAGTTAGTGAAGATGATGAATTCTACCTGGGGTCCTGTACACCTCCACGTGAAAATGCATACCTTTCTATATCCCTCTATGCATGGAAATACACACCTCCACCCACACCTGTACACCAAATAACTGGAAACCAGGGCACAGCTTAGAGAGATAAGTGAGCCAGTCATTTACATAAAAATGGTACCCCCAAAGTTTTCCAGAATGGGCAAGGCTGCCAAGACAGAATCAACTAACACAGAAGAAGGCTCAGGACAAAATCTGGGTTAGGGAAACTTTTAGGAAATGCAAAGAGAAGAAAGTAGAAAATACAACAAAGAAGCTAATAAAGATATAGGGAAATAACCAACACAGCCAGATTTTTTTTAAAGGGAAGAAAATAACTTCCAAAGACAGGTTCATGACAGGGTTTGCACCCACTACTAAATAAGAATACAAATAATGCCAACCTTGGGGAGGGCAAAGGTCTGGGGGCAAGCTGCAGGCAGGAAAAAGAATGCAAAATGAGCCAGAACAGAAATGGGAGTCCTTCGTGTCGAGTCCTGAGGCAGGCCAGAGTTCAAAATCAAGGGGAGCTGACTGCCACTTCGGTGAGGTGGAGGCACAGAAATCTCGACGGAACTGCCCCTGGGTTGGCTGCATCTGTGACTTTCCTCCACGGCAAACATCCCAGTGGGTGTGACTCACAGCTAACTCATCTCTCTTGCTCAGAAAGACGAGGCAGGGGTGGCTGCGTTCATCACTATAACCCCATTGTCTCCCACAGTACCTAGGAGATCGTAGGTACTCAACTATCGCTCCTACAATAATGAGTGTGTCTTCATACACAAGCAGTGAGAACACCAAGCAAAGCAGGGTCATTCCGGGAAACCACAGTAAAAAAAAAGTCAGCAAAGAATGGGAGAAAAAAAATAAGACCCAGGAAACAAAGTTGGCAAGGATAAGCCAGACAGCTGGTCAGGGAGTCAAAGCTTGCCTTTGGGTATCAAAGTACGGGGAGAAGCTGGAAAGATTCCAACTATATATGATGCTAAGCAGATGAGCAAATAAGCAACCTTCCCTTCTTAGTGACATAGTTGTGAATGCCCCTTAACCCTGGAGAAACAAACCCTGGCACTCCTACCTGACACACGGAAAGCACACGGTAATTTCCAATCCTCACCAGCTTCCAGAATGGGGGCCACTGGTACGCTGCCCAACTGCCCACTGGCTACCGTGGAGGAGGTTTTACCACAGAAATGGCTGGATGTTTTTGTTCTGAAGAGCTGGGCCGGGTCAGGACAGACAGGCGGTAACACACTAACAGGATGAGGAGGAAAGGGGAAGCCCCGACCTGAAAGAGAGCGAACCTGGAGAAAGCATCCGGGTGCAGGAAGTGGCGTCTGGAGACCCTTTATAGTCCCCAAACCTGCACGGTGCAGAGCAGGCGGACACAGAACTTAAATAAATGCAGCCAATTTGGGACAAGACCCACCAGGTTACAGTAGATGTAACTACTGAGAAATGTGAGTTGCGGGGCCAGGGCTAGGGCGAGGCAAACAAGGCGCCCAGGACGCAAACGGCACAAACCGGAGTCCTGCGAGCGCCAGCCCCTCACTCCGCGGGACTCCGAGGGGGGGTGCCTCGTGAAGTGTCCGCACCGTGGGCATCTCTCCGGCCCTGTCCTAGTTTGGGCCCTGACGGGTAGCAAGAGTAGAGGAAATTTATGAACCTGGGTGGGGAAGGAAATTCAGGGAGTTAAACATTCAGAAGAAAAGCTTGAGGAGTGGAAAGGCCGAGCCTGCTCAGAAGCTAAGAAGGGGCCCATGGGAAGCAAGAGACGGTAAAAACAAGTGAAAAAGGACACAGTTGACAGATTTTTTTAAGAGGATGAAATTAAAATTAATCTCACTGAAATTAAGGATTTAAACCATTTGCATTATGAATCAGTGGGAAATACATCTAATGGTCAACAAGTAATGTTAAAACACTACTTAATACCATTTTTTAAAAGAGCCAACAGATCCCCACTTCATAACATTCTGAAATGACACTCAGTGTGAATAAAATTTAAATGTTCAAAACCGAGACAGAGAGACAGAGAGAGAGAGAGAAAAGGCAAGGGAGATGCCCAGCTGGCTGAATGAGCAATGTGACAAACATTCCCAACAGCAAAAGTGGGCAAAATTATCAAAACCAACCATTTAAGGGGCTGGATATTTTCCAAAGACATCCAACAAACCGAGAAGAGTTTATTCAAGAAAATCTACTGAGCCTCAGTCAGAGCAGCGGGTGTGTGTGGTGGTTGAGGCTGGGGCCCCCACCAACCCACACGCACTCCCAATTCCGTGGCGTGCAGGTCCCAACAGGACAGGGCAGACCGTGAAGGCTGGCAGCTCCACTGCCAGACGGAGTTAAATTCACCTGGATCAGAAGAAGAATTCCATGCCCAGGGGCATTTTCAAAAACAACAGTGATTCCAAGGGCAAAAACATCAGGGAAGGCCAGTATCACAGCTAGCCCGAATGTGCCACACTAGTTAGGGCGAGCAGAGCTACCAGGAAGGAACACGGAGAATCCGGGAACGACACGACCCCGTGGGCCTTGGTAAGAGTCTACTTTCCCTGCTGTGTGCCTGCACAAGACTGCAAGCATGCGGGAGAGAAATGAGAGGGCCCTCGGGAACTCCTCATCCCTGGATGAGTGTGAGCCTTGCACATGCAGGAAGCCAGGGCAGACCCACAAATCCCCTGAACCTGGAATGCACTCCCCAAGTCGCGCAAGAACTACTGACAGAGGGTGGCGGCCCCATTGTTTCAAGGAGTTGAAGCACAACTTCTGACCAATCACAGGCTGATTCCGAGGATATACTGATCCAAGGGCAGCTACTAGAAAGTCAGGCTTCAAATAAAAACAAGAGCGC